TAATAATAATAATAAGACATAGTAATTGCTGCAAGGCCGTTCCTCAGCAGCCGGTCTAAAAATTCATGTATTCAACAATAATGATGAGTCAGCTTTACTCTTTTGATTCTGAAAAGAGTTTTTTTAACGTTAATTCTAACTGGATTGTACGAAAACGAGCATGTTATAGCCTTGATGAATCTTTTTAAATTGAATTAAAGATGGCGGTTAGCCATTCGAGTTATTTTTAAATAAGATAAAAAATTGCGTCTTATTGGAGGGAGGTTCCATTTGGGTTTATTAAGTATGTATTGAAATATATCTTTACTCAAAATAGGCGGCAGAATGTCTGTCATTTTAATAATAACAACGGTTATTATTATTATTATTATTATTATTATTATGAGATAAAGTAATTGCTGGAGGCCAGTGCTCGGGTAGCGGCTCAATGCTAGTCATTTTTCAGTAACGTGTTACTCATTAGCTGAGACAAAATAGCAATTAAAAATGACCAAGATTTCACTGAACACGACTTGTTCAGGCATTTTGCCAGAGTGTCGTGTCGACGCTTTAACAATGACGAGAGAGCAGTAAAACAGGATTGCCAGTCGATAGAGATCTCTTTTTCATTTCATCGAATTATTTCTTAAAATAGTATACTACCGCGCAATTTTGATGTAAGAATACAATGCCGTGACAGTAACTGGAAGAAACATCGTATTATTTCCCCTCACTAATTCTGTATTGTTAATGTGGCAGCTATTCTTACTGTTGATTCAAGTGTACCAAGAGAGTAAAAATATTGTGTTGTTACATAGGTAACAGTCTATTTTATCAGTAAAAATCTGAAATTTAAAAGCCTATAGAAACAGTGTCCCAATGAAGTACAAGTTCGGGGTAATAAAATAAATACAACACGCAGGTTTGTGAGTAACAACAGAAATATCATCGCTTGGAAAACAATGTTAGCTAATTCTTCGGATAAACAGTATTTTCTTCGGGATGAAATATTTTACTGTTACTCACAAACTGTGTTTTATTTATGATCTTGTACAGTCATGGGAATAGTCACGGCAAGGTCTTGTATGAATACAGGGAAAACAAAATTGATATGTTTGAATAAAAGAAGGGCATTTTTTTATAAAATTTATAAACTGCCAGAAAGCATAAGCATAAAGTGGTTAAACCTTTTTATATAATGTTGTGACTTTAAGAAACGAGGTCAGGCAATCGGCATCCATTTTTTAAAATGGCGCATATATACTGATATAATTTGATATGAATAACCTTTAATACTAGTAGCTATACTCAAACATACTGTGGGTTTGTATGTACATAATAATCAACAAATAAATAATATACATTTTACTTTTGTTTCTGACTTTCAACACGATATGTATACATGTACTAGTACATTTGTAATACAATAAAATGATTCAACATTTCCGAGCAGTTACTTCTTACAAAATTCATGTAAGGTAGGCGAAAACGAAATAATAATGTCCCCTATCGAAGTATGCCAGAAAAGATCATGCATAGCTATTATTTTTGATATTTGCGCTATGAATTATCTTTTAGGTGTTGAAAATTGAGTACCGCACGCCGGTGTCAGGGGGCGTGCCAAACGGTTGAACTTTTATATTATTCAACATGTACAGACTCAAACAGTATGCAATTGTCATGTAATTATGTTGTGATTAATTCTTCCGAGGGATCACCCATTCTAATTACAATGTAAGCATTCAGTTCATCATTTATTGCATACAATTCAATATAGAAAGGATACAATTCTATAGAGAAAAGATCTAAACATTATGCAACATACAAAATAATTCGCAACCAATTTTGTGAGTATTTTTTATTAGTGAATAGCAGAAAATATGTCGTAAAATAGAATGCAACAGTGTTCCGTGAGAATTAGTTATTTGATCCTAATCGTCTGTTAGTTGAAATTTAAGTTTAAAGAAATTACAGACATGTGTTTGCAATGCTATTAAAGGCTGGTCGCACAAGACATGAGTCTCGACAAAACGAAAATGGTGACACTAGACATCGAAATATGTTTAAAGTTGCATGCCTCCAGATGAGCCAAAATATTTCAAGAAAATCGTACTAGATAAAAAGTACTGGGATTTTAAGAAAAGTAAAAAGATTCAAGATGAAAGTAATAATAATGTTCATGTTATGTGTCATTTATGACATATTTTACAGTATTTTTCACTATTTTTCTACTGCGTTACTAACGCAGTAAGGACAATTTTTTCATATTCTGACTTCTTTATGGGTATTTATTATGGTATGTAAGTGCCGTGTGCAGTTTGAAAGCTATATTCTTTTTATTTTGAAATAATTTACTTTCTAATACATTTTCAAAATTTTCATGAAAATAAGCATTGATCTGGAGGCGTGCTGCTTTAAGACCAGTTCGAATCCAGATTTTATATTTATTATACATGCATGTGAGTGGTTCAGTTTAAAATGAGTTTGTAAGTGCGCATTAGAAGTATCTAAATATCATGAAAGTGTTTAATTCAAACCTGTGCGAACTGTATTATAATACTCGGTCAATGTTTAGCGGATATTTGGCTATTTTTTAAGATGTTATATACAATGTTACAATTAAGTATATGCTGTTCATAAATCAGAAACATGGCCAGCTACTTTGCATAATGGAACAGTGTTTTATAGTCATGCTGTAATTGTTGATGTACAACTTTCAAGTATGTCAAAAATTAATGGCATGAAATGACTACACTTTGTCTGATTAGATAACATTAGTTCTCTATATTAGTTCTACATTAGTTTGCTTTACCGTTAACAGATCGAATTTTAGTGTGTTCTCATATTTACGTCTTTTGATAGTTGCAAAGTTTTAATCTTTGCAATAAATACGATTGTTACAATAATAATGTTTTATCTGTGTGCAAAACAATCACTGTATCCGTCCCTTTATATACATTCTGTGTAACAATGTTATGATGTATGCTTAATCTTTCCATACTTAAAATCATACCCAGTAATGGTTTAAACTGCTAATTCTTATAAATTACCAGCCGGCCTGTTCACATATGTACTCTAAAATGATATAGCATTATTACATGGCCTCGGTGATGCAATAATTCATGTCTATGCGATGACTTGTAGCAGCTGACATGGATGTATTTTTTCTACTTATAAAACTTTATATGAATATAGATTATTTTCTATGTACGTTTTCTGTTTCATATGAATATCATTATATTCAACTGATGATTACATTTTAATTGATGTTTCTTCAAAGTTCATTGTTGTACTACGCAAATGTTCAACAGAATTCACTTTCATTGAATCAGTGCGAAGTTCTCTGTGAAATCTAATGTATCTTTCATATTCTAGCATCATTTGTTGTGAAAAGGAACTTTGCAGGAAACACCTACTATACATAACTTAAAAAAGTCCATATACGAGGTCTCCCGTCTGTATCTCATTATGTCAGTATGCCACTGTGAACGCGTCCCAATCTTCAACAATAAGCTAAGTTCAACTCCGTATTAGACTGTTTTGAACTACAAACAATATGTTAATGTCGTTTTGTATTGTAATTGTATCGTATTTATTGTGTTACCGTCTACTGCCATTGTCTATGTAACAATTAACAATGTACCACCACTCTCTTTTACCTGTACTGTTTGTATCAGTAAGCCACTATAAAGGCGTGTGACTGGTTGTCGTTAAAATCATCAACGATATCGCAGTAACCTTAACATTTTAAGCTCCGCTATGCATAATACAGACTTAACTACAATCAGTAGGTGAATGTCGTATTGTATTGTTGTAATGGTATTGTATTGTGATATCGTTAACTTCATTGTCTATTTAACAAAGTACCTCTTACCTCTTTTATCTGTATCACTTTGTGTCAGTATGCCACTGTAACGATAGCGCAGTAAGCTTTAAACAACTTTAAGCTACACTGTTTATTTAACTGATTAAACTACAATCAGTATGTTAATGTCGTATTGTATTGTATTGTACTGTAATTGTATTATAATTGTATTGTTTTGTGATATCGTTTACTGTCATTGTCCATCTAACAATGTACCTTCTTTCTCATCTGAACGGATGTGTCTGATTGTTTAAATAATATATCATCAAAATCACCAAAGATAGCGCACTTAGCTTACAATTTTAAGCTCCACTTTGTATCTGACTTATTAAACTACAATCAGTATTTCAATATCGTCTTGTATTGTAATTGTGTTATATTGCATTGTGTAAACGTTTACTGCCATTGTCTGTCTGTATCTCTTGCTGTCAGTAAGCCACTGTCAACTGGTGTGTTTGATTGTTTAAGCTACAATTCAACACGATTATCAATGATAGCGCAGTAATCTTATTTATTTTATTACAATCAGTATGTGAATGTCGTATTGTTTTGTAATTGTGAATGTCGTATCGTTTTGTAATTGTATTTTATTGTATTACTGCCATTGTCTATTTAACAATGTACCTCCTCTCTCTCTTTTATCTGTACCTCTTGGTGAAAGTATGCCACTGTAACGATAGCGCAGTACGCTTAAGAAAACTTTAAGCTACAATGTCTGTTAACGCAGTCTGTAAACGTCATATTGTATTGTACATGTAATTGTTTGGTAATTGTATTGTACTGTATTGTTTTGTGTTATCGTTTACTATCATTGTCTATCTCCACGCATCTCTTTGTGTCAGTAAGACACTGTAAACTCTTGTGTCTGATTGTTTAAACTACAATTTATCAACACGTTTAAGGATGGTTTGTTCCGGGTATTTTGTATTTATTGTATTACTTATGAATGTATACGCTTCTGTTTGAATTAATAAAACTTTATACAAATGTATATACATTCTCAGAAAATGATGTCTTCATGCGTATGTAACAAGTAACGTGTGCAAGCATAGTGAGATTTGCATGAATGTTACTCCTATAAGAATGCGCCATAAGAAAGTGCATTAGGCGTAAAATACTTTATGAACCGCCACGCGAGGAATAACAAACTATCAAATTGTGTTTAATGGCCATACCATACTATAAGGTATGGCCTCTGTTTATTGTTTTAACCAACAATACTTAAACATGTGCAAAGAATAGTACATACATCAATATTATGCAAATTAATACAATATAGAAAATACACATGTAGGAATAATAATTAATCGAGTTCTACTATAATAGTAAGAAATGTGAGGGTTTCGTAAGAAAAACGCACTGAAACTGTGCAAAGAATAGGACATACATCAATATTATGCAAATTAATACAATATAGAAAATACACATGTAGAATTAATAATAAATCGAATTCTACTATAATAGTAAGAGATGCGAAGGGTTCATAAGAAAAACACCCCCTTACATAATCATTAACATTACAAGTGTTACAGAAAGTATTGCATGTATAAAAAAAAAATAAATACTGCCTATCTTTCTTACAATCACTGAAATATGTGGGTTACAATGAGACCCTTAAAATTTTGTTGTGGTGAAGGGGGTGGAGGAGGGTAAATTTTTTGCTTCCTCTTTGTACGCTTCTTAGTAATTGCTAACTGGTTCAAGACGATTTTATGTAGGGGTATTATCCGTTCAGCCGTCTCTACGAACGGCTAAAACCCGTACCTCCCGTGGCGGCGCATAAAGTTCGCTGATGCTATTTGGCATAGCTTATATTTATGAACCGCCACGCGAGGAATAACAAACTATCAAATTGTGTTTAATGGCCATACCATACTATAAGGTATGGCCTCTGTTTATTGTTTTAACCAACAATACTTAAACATGTGCAAAGAATAGTACATACATCAATATTATGCAAATTAATACAATATAGAAAATACACATGTAGGAATAATAATTAATCGAGTTCTACTATAATAGTAAGAAATGTGAGGGTTTCGTAAGAAAAACGCCATAAAAGCTAGAATTAGACTAGCTTTTCCCCACATTTCACTGCATAGGAGAGAAGACCAAGGTTAATGATCTTGAAACTTTAACCAATAAAGGGCTTATTTAACAGAGAATTCCCGAAGGTATAAAAATTGGTTAATGGTATTATTTTTTTTTTATTTTTATTTTTAACTGAAGCTAACCAACCTATGATATTTAATGAAATAATAATCAAACATATCATTTGTCACAAGCCCCAGCAAGTGACCCGAATACATATACACACAATGTTATAACTATTGTCACCAGCCCAAGCAAGTGATGTTCATTATGTACAAATTAAAATGTTGACATTTTGTGTTGACTGCCTAGATCGATATGCAACAAAAATATTAACAATTTTAATAATGAATTGGTCCAGATTACACCAGCAACTAAAAGTCTTAAAATTAGTTAACAATAAAGTCTTTGCATCATTATAAACAATGTTCAGCATGATACCGGCCGTCTTTATTGTCTAATAATAGATTATGATATAATCAAAAGATTAACCAATAAACTCCAAATACGCTTTTATATAGAAAACAATTGTAGTAAACATTATAATAGATGACACAAAGTTGAACAACAAAAACCAACAATTGTAACAAACTTTATAAAAATGACACAAAGTTGGACAACAAAAACACCCACATTTACACATGTATGTAAAAATATAGATATTGTATATATAATATTGTATATAAAGATATTGTATATATCATATAAACTACTGATCATAAATATTTTTCAAATCGTGGTCGACTCGCCCAGGAAAAACCATAGTCTGGAAACCTGTGCCCTTTTATCTTGTGTCTAGTACCACTTGATGTAGGGCTACATCCTTGAAAAATATTTTACAAACCCTTTACTTCAAGTAAGTAGGCTGCTAAACATAAAAGTTAAGTTAATGCATTTTGAGTACAAAATGATAATATGCAAAATTAGAAAGTAAAACAAAAACAAAAGGAAACTTATATAGGTAAAAGTCCAAAAGTGTACGATTTGCGCGCCTCCTGCTGTTATTGTGCTGTCATAAGATCAAAGAAATATACAGTTGTATATATTTCAGACATATAAAATAATCAGTTGTAAATTCTAGACATATAGAACAGATTAATTAACGTTACAGTATAAGCTTGAAATACATATCTTAAAGAAATTGGTGATGGTTACTAATAAAACGAATTGTGACATAAAGATTACTTTACAATTTACAGACAAAAATATAGATAATTATGAAAAATCTTGTTGTCTACATATAAAAGTATATACATATAAAAATACACTTACTATCACTATTAGTATTGTTCTTGAAAAACCAAGAATGTTAAAATTAGAGTCACTATAAACAGATCTTATCTTATCTTATCTCATCTTATCAATGTATATTTATCACAAACTGTTCTTAAGTAAACATGAAGTTCAAAATAAAGTTAGGATTAACGTGTTATTTATACATAGTTTATTATCACTCTTGTGCGTTAAACTACAAAAACATTTTGATTTGTTAAACTGATAAATTAAATTCAATATATAAGCTATAATTAACATTTAAGCAATACATAGTTAACATATACTTCAATATGTTAAACTAGTCTAACTGTGATTTAATTTATTAAGACATTTTATTCCTTAAGTGAATGCATAGTTCGAAAAGAACATACAAACTTTAGGTAATTGTTAATTCAATTTACAAGTTAAAATTAACATTTAAACACTACATATTTAACATACACCCCAATATGTTAAACTAATATCTAAACAAGTACTGTCTCATAACAACATATTTATTAGGTACAGGATGCATAGTTTGAAAATAAAATACAATATAATTTTATAATTAATGTATACATTATAATTAATATTTAAACAACACATGCATGTAGTTAATATACACCCCCATATGTTAAACTAGTGTCGTAAACTGGGATTATCTTAATACTCATATATTCACTCTATTAGATTAAAATCTATTAACTTGTAAATCGTTAATGTATAAATCTTGACAATGTTGTCAAATTAAATCAATTTCAACCAAAAAGTTATATCTTTCATTCTAGCATCTCATATTTAACATACACAATGATGCTGCAAATTAGAAATGTGTTATAGACACAATATCACTGTGTTACATACGTAGTCAATTTAGGGAATGTTTTAACGTCAATAACGCATATTATTGCTAATATACTTAGAATACATCACAATATGTTTAAATGGTGTCGTAAATAAAACAACACATTTATTTATCAACAAATATGTGTTAAAATAACAATGTATAGTATTTCTAAAATTTATAAAGAAACTCGTGATAAAATGAATAACATATAATGTAAATAACACTTTCGACGTTAATAATAAACACACGCTAGGATTGTAATTTTTCATAATCGTTACCATCTTATAAATTCAGTTGTAATGAACTAAATGAATATAATTCTTTAAATGCTTCAGAAGAAAGTTTCAGATTGATAAGTCTAACAAATGGACCTATTAAATGCCTATAAAATCACCCATACGATTTGTTACATGTGGTATTAATTAACACAGGTACTTAAACTACGCCACACTACAGTGATATTGATTACCCATCAACTAACATTGCATGTGTTCAATAGTACTATCAGCAGTGTTATGTAATATTGTAATGATTATCATTTCTGCATTGCAGGCAATGGTATATGCTAAATTATGTAAATTATCAGACTTGCATGTAACTTGTAGCCGATATCGCAACGAGAACTTCCAACAAATAATTAATATTACCAAAAAAATTCATTTGTTGAAATTTAACTAAATTGTTATTATGTTATTATAACAATCAGTCACTGTAAAAAGTGAGTTTGTCAGTATAAAAAAGGTGTGTTATTAATACTCTTTCGTCTTTTAAATGTATGTCTAAATGAATTGTCTACTTATTACCATACACCCCAATATGGTAGCAGTGGGTAAAGTTCACAAGATATCACAGATCAGGTGTCAGAGTCTTAAAGTTGTAATCCAGAAAGTCTCACCAATGATATTGTATACATGATATGTAAAATTGTCAAACTTCTCAAGGTGCCTCATGTATTTTATCATGTACTTATATGAAAGAAATATGAAATGGTTCACACTCAAGAAATGTTAAGAAATTGAAATATTTGGAGTCGGTTTGTTTTTGCAGCAGTTTTATTTTTGAAGAAATCGTTATTTGTTTTTTTTTTTTATTTTTTATTTTTTTTTCCAAATACTGGAATGTAAGAACGGTCATCTAAGTGTTTCCATCCGTCAGATTGTTTGTGGTCATGTTTAGGTTTTATTTCCTTTATAACAACTAATTATTTCCTGTATGTGGATGTCCTTCTTTAATGTTTTTGTGGTATAATCTCGTACACTGGTACTTCCGTAATTTTGTATTTACTAGTAGCTGTAAGCAAAGTTTGTAGATTCTCTTCAAGGCGCTCCTGTAAAATAAATGAGAGAGAACAAGTACCTTGTTTTTCAAACAAAAACAAATTCATTTTCAAAGGTATATTCCCTTAACTGTTGTTTTACATAGCGGATATGTATGTCGGTAGTAATTGTATTGAAGTATAACGGTCAGTCGATACGAAAATAAAATAATAATAATTATAATAAAACTGCCATATTTTATTTATTTAAGGTTTTGTTATTCATAACAAAATCAAAAACACTGACTACTATTATAATAGTACCAGATTAATATAATAATCTGGTACATGACATGGAGGAATGGCCTTTGCCGCTGAAACATTAAATATCAATTCATTAGGAACTGACTACTATTATAATAGTACCAGATTAATATAATCTGGTACATGACAATGGAGGCATGGCCTTTGCCGCAAATATTTAAATTAAAAATAGTAACACTTTAAATTCTTAATAAGAATAAATCCATAATTTATTTAATTCGTTATTAATATATGCTTATGTTTTTAATCATTTTAATTTCATGTTGCCATATAAGAGATACCACCCATTAAAATTCTGGCTATTATTAATTAATAACATTTTTATGATTCTTATAAAAATAAATAAATATATATGTGTGTATTTTTTTTTTATCTATTACTATTATATATATATATATATTATTTTTTTTTATTTATTATTTACTTATATAACAAAATATATACATATATAGATATGTATTAAGTTTTAATACTTTGTTCACTTGTTAAATATGTATTCATTTTTTATTTATTTACTTTTGTATTTAAATGTTTATTATCATTATTATTTATTTTTATCTTTTATTGTTTATGATCATTCTACTTCCATTTGCTTAACCATACTGATAAAGTAATTAGCTAGCAATACAATAAAGCATGGACATCTTAGGGATGAGAATGTATATCAATGCCTACATCAAAGAATTCACAGTTCAATGTTACTATTATCCTGTTTGATGATACCGATATCTCTGCAGGGGTACTAAATTAAGCATGAACAAAGTTTTATGATCCTAACTTACTTCCAAGGCATCTTGCAATTGGCATTAATGACCATGACAAATTACTGCCAGACAGACAATTTCTCTATCTTCCTCTTTCATAACCTAAGTGCTTATGCTATTTAAAAAGATATATTCACACATTAAGTAAGTAAACATAAATTTATGGCGGTCCAGTCATTAAATAACTAAAGCTCAAAAGCTCACAGAAAAATAAAACCTGTGCTAAAGCTCAAAAGCTCACAGAAAAATAAAAACCTGCGCTAAAGCCCTAAAGACTCGCAGAAAAATAAAAACCTGTGCTAAAGCTCAAAAGCTCACAGAAAAATAAAAACCTGCGCTAAAGCCCTCAAAGACTCGCAGAAAAATAAAAACCTGTGCTAAAGCTCAAAAGCTCACAGAAAAATAAAAACCTGCGCTAAAGCCCTCAATGACTCGCAGAAAAATAAAAACCTGTGCTAAAGCTCAAAAGCTCACAGTAAAAATAAAAACCTGCGCTAAAGCCCTCAATGACTCGCAGAAAAATAAAAACCTGTGCTAAAGCTCAAAAGCTCACAGAAAAATAAAAACCTGCGCTAAAGCCCTCAATGACTCGCAGAAAAATAAAAACCTGTGCTAAAGCTCAAAAGCTCACAGAAAAATAAAAACCTGCGCTAAAAGCCCTCAATGACTCGCAGAAAAATAAAAACCTGTGCTAAAGCTCAAAAGCTCACAGAAAAATAAAAACCTGCGCTAAAGCCCTCAATGACTCGCAGAAAAATAAAAACCTGTGCTAAAGCTCAAAAGCTCACAGGAAAAAAAAAAAAAAAAAAAAAAAAAAAAAAAAAAAAAAAAAAACTGCGCTAAAGCCCTCAAGACTCGCAGAAAAATAAAAACCTGTGCTAAAGCCCAATGGCTCACAGAAAAACAAGTTATTTAAGCCTGCGCTAAAGCCCTAAGGACTCGCAGAAAATATAAGAACCTGTGCTAAAGCTCAATAGCTCACAGAAAAACATGTTGTTTAAGCCTGCGCTAAAGCCCTAAGGACTCGCAGGAAATATACACACCTGTGCTAAAGCTCAATGGCTCACAGAAAACATGTTATTTAAGCCTGCGCTAAAGCCCTAAGGACTCGCAGAAAATATAAAAACCTGTGCTAATGCTAAATGGCTCACAGAAAATATGGCTGTGCTAAAGCACAATGGCTCAAAGAAAACAAACATAATAATTTGAATAAAGTTAAAGATCTGTGCTTAATGTGATATGCACAGAAAGTGTTCCAAACAATTGAACATTCTAATGGTAGACATTAAGTGATTGTGATCATTGTCTGTTTATATTTCACTTTTGAGGTTTTTTTTTTTTTTTTTTTTTTTTTTTAAATTTTGCTTAAGACTATTTATGGCTTATAAAAATTTATAAAATTTCTGCTATAGCCCAATGGCTCTCAGACAACAATAATTAAGTTAATTGTCTCTGTAAAGACTATACCGTAATTATTATCTTCATGATAACATAAATAATATTATGAATATAGTGACTCTCAAGCTATAATATTATATTCTATGATATCATATTATTTATACTGGCTTTATTCCCTTCCACACTTCTTATCAACAGACAGGTTTTATGATGAACTAATATACCAATAAAAATAAAAAATAACAATACTCCCCTACGACCGATCCTTGATTACCGATCTAACAGCTGACATGATGGCATGTCTCAAGGACCTGTAAAAGCGTCGCTGTCCATTGTGGTTAAGGTGGATTCCATCTTTCCGGAATATGGGAGTCTGTGAGTAAAACAGCCTTCTGTGCTTCCAGAATCTTGCTTTATCATGCATATCCAAAAGAGTTTGCAGGATTGATACTGAGTGCAAGCGTTTGTGTTCAAATAAATCTGACGTAACTTTCGTTGGTCGAGCACGGGTGAATATTTCGCACACTACAACTTTCTCTACAGCATACTCCTGAATAATTAGAGCTGTTATTTCTTCAATTCTATTGGCAATGTCCAGAGAAGATTTTACTGAATCGACGTCGTTACTTCCTAATTGAAGAAGTACGATGTTTGGCTCAACTTGTCTCAGAAAATCCCCAAATTTTGAGCTGAAATACGTAACTGCATCACCATCACATACTTTAAAGCCACCTATCCCAAAGTGGACCACGGAACACTCTTCCAAATCGTAGTTTGAGGGATATGAATTTTGTTTAAAGTCTTCATGCAGCCGACGAATAAAACTATGACTTAAAACAGCCACACGTATTCCAGTTTGAATACGACTCAATGCCATATTCCCGTTTTGACTCGGTGACAGTCGGCGATAGGCCTATAAACAGATAAAGAAAACAAAGTTTTTAAACAATCGGTGGTAATCACACCAAAGAAACAAATATATCCAACCTGGTACTTTCCAGATTAAGTTTTGTGTCCTATGATATCCACAAATGTCCGTAAAATTAGCTATATAAAATCACTAAATATCAAATCACTTTCTCTAAATTTTTTGCTTCCTCTTTGTACGCTTCTTAGTAATTGCTAACTGGTTCAAGACGATTTTATGTAGGGGTATTATCCGTTCAGCCGTCTCTACGAACGGCTAAAACCCGTACCTCCCGTGGCGGCGCATAAAGTTCGCTGATGCTATTTGGCATAGCTTATATTTAAGAAGTATTTATCGTGACACTTTATGCTTGAATGTATTTTCAAACGAGGAAAAAAGCAAACACTAAAAATGATGCATTTATTTAACAAAAATTATGCATGTTACCTGTGCAAATCGTCTAGTCTTTTCTTAAAAAATAGTCGGAGAAAGATTATATTTTCATCACTTTTCCTCCTATTACAATGCTACATAAGATTTGTAAAAAAGCAATGCGGATTATAAATTGAATGCTAAACAATCAAGTGATAATAATATAACAATAATCCATTGTTTGGAACCGTTTGTTCGTGACAGTGGCATTTCAACCTATACGAACTGATGTAAACTGGGCCAACGGAAATGCGGATACTAAACAAGTTCATTATCGCCACCGAACTTAAAACACTGGTCACATTATATTGTTGATGTAAACTTTCAAGTTATCTATCGTCATTATAGTCATTTGATAGATCCCTGCTCTGACATTTTATTTGAATAACAATATATTTAAACACAAACAATGACATGTGCACTTTTGTTAACAAATATGTTGTGGTTAAATTCTAATTGTATCCACTAATCTGATAATTAGATTTTTAATTGAGGTCAGGGATCTATGCATAAGATCATTGGCACAAAAACCCCACTCGTGACCGACCTTTTCACCAAGGATTAGATCCGAGCACTGTTGTTTTATATATATGATAGGTACTGGACTTATATTATATTATACACTCTTGATATTTTGATACAGTTTCCTAAATAGAGCTTTTTGGCAAAATAGCAGTCGCCTTTTGCTTCTATTGCATATAAGTAATAAGTAAATTTATAGTGATTAAGCATTTTGACTTATCTACTCCTTCGTCGCAGGGGGTTTAGCTTCTACCACAACCTACAATTCCGATGCCGATATTCTGATTAAAGCGAAGGGGACGACGAAATTGTGCAAAATCAGTGAGCCCCTAGCACTGAATGTTTTGCACTGAAAGTCCTTTTCTGGCTGGCTAATCTTACTATATAATTAGTTTCTAATTGGCCGCCAAACAGTGACCTTCTTTTGACTCAAAATTCATAACTTTGGCTGAAAATCCTTGTTTATTGCATGAAGGTATCACCAATTAATGCTGAAAAATATCTATGTAAGGTCATGATTGATGATATGTACGAGGTTTGCACTCGCAGCGAAATCAGCATTTAGTGCCTAAACGGCCGGATGAACCTAAACTACAGATAGACAGACAGACAGACAGACAGACAGACAGGATATAGCATTATTGTATGGTAGCACTGATGGATGCAGTAGTATGTGATAACAAAAGTTTGTGATTATATAATTAATAGTAGCAGCTAACATTTTAGTATATATTCAACTTATATATAACTGTATATGAGTATTGTTTATTTTCTAAATACTTATTGGTTCCCACGTTAATATACCGCCTCCGTGGACGAGGGGTTAGAGTCGATGACTTCTAATCCAATTATCTCTCTGGCGTGAGTTCGATCCCCGGGAGATGCTTTGGTAGTTTACCACGGAGGAAGGTAGTATAGTACTGGTGTAACTCTCCAGGAACGATGGTTAGGAAACACCCCGCCTATATGACTGAAGTACTGATGTTAATATTAATATAAGAATTGAGTTCATTTTATTTGGAGCTTCCCATTCTTCGGTGTGGTACATAAATGTTCAGTAAAGGACATGTTAAAAGAAATTAGAATTCACTTTCAATGGTTAAGTGACTTTGTTTACAAAAGTAAAGTTCTCTTTTTTTGTTTTCTGCCATTAACTAATGCAAAGAGGAACTCTCAAGTACGAAAACAACCCCTCTGAAAATTAATCCCTAAAGCTTTGTGTATGAAATAGTGCGTCATTGTTATCTTTATGGAATTAATCTGTAACAATACCCTAATGCATATATTTGCTCGAAGCATATCCATTGTACACAGAAATCCGCGTAACAGCTATACATGTATTAAATAACTATTAGTGATACCAATGTCTCCCATCGTTTAAATTTGTTTGTATCTTGCTTTGTTAGCACATACATATCAAACACATCAAACGACCCTCAATATGTTATGTCACATTGTATAGTATTGTTTTGTATTGTATTGTATTGTATTGTATTGTATTGTATTGTAATGTATTGTATTGTATTATGTTTTATTGTATTATTGTTTGAATCTTTGTAAGCCACTATCAATGCATGGGTTACAATTCATCTTTCAGGTCTGGTACATGGTTATGTATCCCACTGGTTATGATTTAATCATATCTCTTTGTTAAGACCAAATACTTTAGCAATTGTGCTTTATTTCATTGTTAAAAGATATTGTTATTACTAGTATTGTTTTTTTTAAATTCTTTAACCCATTCCTTAATGGGAATATGTTAATTATGGCACTGTATTCCCATTGATAAGAAGGGGTCTTTCCTGCACCATTCCAATACTGATAAGCCACACAATAAAGAATACTAAAATAAATAGAGGATATTGAATGAGTGTAATTTCAATACTGAATTAATTGAACGAGTTTAATTAAGTTATTTTATGCGAGCCTATGGCGAGCATAATATTATTTTATACAACGAGATAAATAGATTTAGCCTTGAACTTACAAGAATATAATATTCTATTCATCACATATCCAAAATAAAGAGTGTTTAAAGTGAAAAAAATTATTTTTCGATGACGCGCATATTATCTAACGCTAGCATTTAGCGCGTCTTTACACGTTGATTGAACATGTATAACGCAAATGACCTCACGCTAAAACATATGCACGGCGGTGCAATACCGTTTTTACGGAGTCGCAAAATCGACACTGGTGTGTGATAATGTGATAGTTCTGTTCTTATCTCTTTATTAAGCGTTTATATAAAAGACTGTGTTTGTACATGTAGAGTATGAAATTCCCTTTGTTCCAGTATAAAAATTACTTTACTGCTATGTCTGGTTATAATTATGAGAGGTGAAAATTTATTCTTATCTTCTTCTGAATCTATATGCATGTAGATTATATAGGGAAATGGTCAAAAGCAGGGGTCATTGTTTTTACATGTTTATAACTAATTACTCAATCAATTATCGCACATGTTTTATTATCTTCTTGTCAAATTATGTCTTCAGAAAAAGGTTATACATTTTCTTTGAGTATCCTCCTTTTGAAATATCTTAATTTTGCAATACAATTAAGAGGTGCCCAGAGGCGCTTCTATGTGGTAATAGGTAAAGGCGTCCAGAGGTTCTTGTATGTGGTAATAAATAAATGGGTCCAGAGACAATTTTATGAAGAAATGGGTTAATTTCACTGTTTAAACTTTTGTTATAACGACCTGTTTTGTCGGACAAAGTCCGTCTCAAACTCCTACGCAATGGCCCCCTAGACCATTATTATCACAAGAAAAAAATAAAACCTTTGTTCATAATTGTATTTAGCTAATGCATAAGTTTGGCTTTATCCACTGTCTTTCACTCATAGATGCAATATTCAACTAAATCAGTTTTCTTTTGCAAAGGTTAAGTAACCTCCATTTTGAAGTCACGTGCCGTTTTCTATGGTCAGGTAAAGTTTTGAAGGCAGTGATTTGAGAGTAACCAATCAAAACACTGTGATGTAAAACAATGGCTTGACCCTCTGTAAAATTTGCAGGGACGAACTGATTGTTAGTTACAAAATCATAGGTATGTTTAAACAAAGAACCTCAATAGCTATTCTAAATAAGTATAATAATATAAAGGATATTTCTTAAAACTATACACGTCCAAATTAATAAGTAATCGAAAAAATCATCAGAGTGAACCATGTTATCTCCTATTAAACATTTTTCACTGCTGTTAAAATTTCATTTATTCTCTACAGAAAAGCTTATTCAACAAAAAAACAAACTGAGTTATAAATGACATTCTACGAGTTTTGTCCTAAATAACAAGAGTACCAATAACACACATCAATGCATAACGAAATACGCCAAATAAAGAAATATATCGAACTTTTCTTGTATTGTTGTAGTTTTTGTTCAGTATTCAAGTGTTCAAGAAGGTATATTTCAACCACCCAACTGAATTGCCGAATAGTTAAAACTAAAATTACATGAACACACAAAAATAATGTAGTGCTGATCGGAAAAATAACATCTCTGATTGAATGTATAGGGCGACTTTTTATAGCCTCCATACGACATAAACAACGCTGATGTGGCGATAAAATAGAGAAAATAAGAATTCCTAAAGACAGCACAACACGATAAAATAAAAAATGTTGCAGGGCCTGTTCATGGACGGTACTGTCAAGTGCAAACTACCGTCCACGCCCCCTAACACCGGCTTAGGCAGAATTCAACATTGCAACATGAAATGGCATTATTTTGAATTTAGAAACATCCGTAGATGTGTTAAAAAACAACTGAAATAAATAGCAAACTAGAAAACTCACTCATATGCTTCACATCTTTATTATTATTATCATCTTTATTCGAGTGTTTTGCAGAGAATGCATGGTATCACTGATATCACCTTTTTGTAAAAAGGTCATCATTTGCACAATCGGGTTGAAGGAAATATGGCCGGTTGTCGGGGACCTTTAAAAGAAAAATAGAGATAGAGTCAGCAATAATTTCTCTCAGCTCCTCTATGACATTTGGTCTAAGTTGTCAGGGTCGGCAGCTTTGTTGGCATTTAGGTTGGCCAGGTGCTTTAAAACACGTTCTTTACTAATGAAGATGTCACTCATTTGTGGATATAAACAGTACTTTCTGGGGTCAAGGAGCCTCAATTTTTGTTTGCATTTCTATATAGTACACTTAAGAAAGCTAGGGCTTTGATCTATAGATAGAAGCACCTTTTCGTGATTTTGTGAAGAGTGTGTTTGTTTCTTTATGTGCTTTTTTATCATCATCTGCAAAATTTAATATATTTTTAGAATATTTAATCAAGAGTCTTATAATTGTTAATTCTTGCTTGTTTTTGAGATATCGTTTTTTAATCTTTCCCTTTTAAGCTCACCTGAGCT